ACGTCAGCACTTTCTTCTTTCTGACAAGCTTGCAAGGTAATCAGTTTGAGGAGTGGAGTACAAGGCTCCCTGCCTCAGGTCTGTTTTCTAATACACTGGTATTGCTTCTAATCTGTTTCGTTGTAGTTTTTATGATGACTCATTACATGGGTTTGCATTTTTGGCTAACTCTAACATAACCACACCTGAAAAGGCGGCATTCAGGATATTTAAACAAGTGAAAACATGAATTTCTTTCTGATTGTCTTGTCTTGTTGTTTTAGCCCCTATAATGCCTCCTCTGCTTATTTCAGGGATTATGCCGCCATTGTTTTCTTTGCCAACAATCGCTTTGAGACAGGGAAAAGAAAGCTGCAATATCTCACATTTCAGGACTTTGCTTTCTGTGCCGGGCAGCTTATCAGCAACTGGACCGTCGGGGCTGTTGGTGAGCAGTTTGTCTTGTTTCCTTTGGCCGTTGGCTGCCATTTTTATCTGAGATTTAAGGGACATGTATAACATTTAAATCAGTTATATAACAGATATATTAGTCATGTGAAACTATGCTAATGTGTCTTAGTTTGAGACTTACAGAGTGATTAAACACTGGTGTTAAATCCAAGAGCAATAAAAAAAGAGATTATAGCTTAGACTAAACATAAAATGGGCTAAAAAGAAATTCTTCACATAAGAACCAGACATGGTGATGTATGCCCTACTACTTACTAGTTTGCTGATCAGGTAGTGTAATCACAGTGAAAATGCTCTTGAGATGGATTTGTCTTCAGTGAACTGTATTGCTAATGTCACACACTGTGCAGCATTTACACTTTCAGACAGGAAATACAGTTTTCCATTCATCTTTTTTCTCTCAGTGGACACAAAGGCTCTCACTGTCCAATACGCAGTGCTAACTAACCTTTAACTCAACTACAGTTACAGCTTGTGACTGTACGACTGTGAGTGGTGGGGATAATGCAACAAGACTAATAAAAAAGAAAAATGTCTCTGCTCCTGTTTGGAAGTATTTCGGGTTTAGTCCAGGTGATAAAGGTGAGCCAGCCAACATGGATTACACTGTGTGCAGTCACACATCATCTCCGTTCAGCCCATGGATGTCTCACTATCTGCTATGGCACCAAGTGTCATCAGGTCCTCCTTTCATTATTCTATGAGCCTTAAGTATTTAAATCCAGAGAGACTTGCCTGAATAGGCTAACTGCATATTAGAAACACACACAGCTTTGTAGGCTAAACAGTGTCATACATGCACACATACATATACATATATATATATTTTTTTTTTTTTTTTTTTTTTTTTACAAATACAGACATATATCATGTATCTTGGTGAAACGTAAAGGAGGTATGAAGGTATGGAAAAAATAGATACCACTAAAGTCACTGGTTATTATGAATAAGGAACATATAGAGCAGTGCCTCCTGCACAGAGGTCCTTCAGGTCTGCAGATTCTCATTAGAATGACCATTAATTTAAAATGTAGTCACCAATTAGTAAAGTAGAAATGTTTAATTATGTTAGGCAGATATTAACTGCAGGGAAAAGAATAAGCAGTGATAATAATTATGAGGAAAATCTCTGAAGTGATTTGATGGTGTCTGACTGGAGTTTTCTTTGTAGATACCATGGTGGAGGACATGGATGTGGATCTCGATAAAGAGTTTTTACAAGAGCTGAAAGAACTGAAGGTTTTAATCACTGACAAAGATCTGCTGGATCAACACAAAAGGTAACAGGAACACAGAAAAACTTGCACATTTTTGCTGATTAAATACATTTTCTTACTGTTTTTTAATTACAGTTTTATCCACGCTCTTATTAGCAATTTATCTTTTTCCATTCTCTCCTTTCTGTTCAGTCTGGTCTGTACAGCTCTCAGAGGGAAGACCAAAGCTTTTAATGAGATGGAGGCTAATTTCAAGGTGAGAAATGTTACACACACACGTAATATCCACAATGCAATCAGTCAGTGACGTCTACAATAAAAAGGAATAGTAGTTTTCTTTAACTGTAACTCTTCTTTTTCTTGTAGAATCTTTCCAGAGGCCTCGTCAACATCGCTGCAAAGTTAACCAACACAAAAGATGTCAGAGATTTCTTCATTGATCTTGTGGAGAAGGTGCGTATTCCTACAAAATGTCTATCTTTTCAAGTGTTTCGAGCCAAAGACGAATCACTCAACCCGTTTTTCAGAGGCCAGTTTTAAAGTCTGCCTTTGAGACGGTGTGATGTAACGTCTCCTCCCCTCCTTTTTCTCCCCCAGTTTATTGAGCCGTGTCGCTCAGACCGATGGACAGCTGCGGACATGAGGCTCTACCTCACTCACTACAGCAACTCTGCACACATACTCGACACATTCAAGTGAGTTAATGTGCTTTTTATTCTGTACAGCTTATCAGGTAGAGCGCGGCTCCAACCATGCCGGGGTTATCATTCTCCAGGGGGCCGACCCAGGCTAAAAATACACTCAGGATGTCGCTGAGCTCTTTGAGAAAACTAACCAAAAACCGAATATTACTTCCCCCTTTGCTGAGGCTGCTCATGCTTTAAGTTGTATGTTACAATCCTCTCTAATATTGACGTCTCTGTTCTGCCAGTGGGTGTCACCCTATCTCGCCCATGATTTCTTAAACTGTAGTTACCTTGTTTCTCATGCAAACACTCTGGAATGTAGTTAAGGGTTTACACAGCCCTGCACCACGACATGCTTAACAAAGAGATATTCATAAAGAGAAACATAGACCCCCCGCCCTCCCCATTACCCTGAGTGGACAAAGATTGCCTCATTTACTCTCTTCACCCAGATTTCACAATTACAGTTTCTCATGAGACTTGCTCTACCTCTCTGCTGCGTTTACTCACAGTTTACTCTCTTTCTGTCTGTTTTCTGCCCCTCAGACACCAGGTTGTGTGGGACAGATACATGGGCGTCATCAAAAGCTGTATCTTCAAAATGTATCACGACTGAAGCGTTTTCTCTGCGGCTCACCCCTCATTCCTCCCCGCTCTTCCCTTGGTTTGTTCCCCCCACTGAAGCTGTTATCTGTAGCCCTTCATTTTGTGCTTTCTGTGTTTCCAGCAGTGTCTGTAAAATTGATTTGTAAATAAAATTAACGTATTTACATCAAAATGTCATCCTGTTTTATGTTGTTGTCTTATCTGCCGTGTTATATGGAAGAGATGTTCTCGTTAACCTGTTCCAAAGACAAGATTTACTGATCTTGTGAGTGTTGGATAAAGATTAGAGAAAAAGAGAGATACTAATCATAGCGCAGAAATGAACAAGGCAGATTTGTAATGCACTGCTTCAGCAGCCTGCAGCATGGACGACAAATTGTGTGAACGTTTTAAGTTTTAAATACGACCAGCAGATTACACGTGTCATGAATTGAGTCCTTTTCCAGTGTGTTGGATGCAGCGTTATTACAGTTTTGTATTTTTCATTAGTGTTTAATTTTTGTTTTCAGTTCAGTTTAGTTTCAGTTAGAGTGGGTTTGTTTGTTTCAGTTTGATATGTTTAGTTTGTATTTGTTTCAGTTTTGGTTTTAGGAACATTATTATACAGTCAGGGGATCTCAACAGGTATCACAATACAAACACAACACTGACAGTCATGTCAACATGCCAGTCTCAGTAAACATCCAGTGCCTCCTCATGTTTGTTGTGCTGATAAATTTGACCCACTTGAAAAGACCAAAACTAAAGATGTTTCCTGTGTACTTGTATTTTAGTTTAGTTTTAGTTAACTATAATAACCATTGTTGGATGTCTGTGTGTGGTCAGGGGAATAATGGACCAACCAGGGGGGCACAGTTGGTCCAGCCAGGGGGTTGTCTGTGTGACTTTTAACAACATCCCCTGTAATGACAGCTGCCACCGCTGCCACCACCCAGAAAGCCAGGACAGATAAACAATGTGAAGCTAAGTGAGGGTTTTTAAACCAAAGATTTTCTTTGGGGGGAAAGAAACCTGAGAAAAATACAATAATTGTACCCCTAATGTTATAAATAGCCTGATTGTGCGCTTTAAAAAGATAAGTGTGTCTATTAAAGAAAATTTGGTGGTAAACTTTAACACATGCAATCTTTTTGTAATTGGTGTTACATTACATTACATACATCAAGTATCGTGGAATAATGCTCGCAATTACAGCAATGCGACTGGTGCTCATTTAATTCTGAAGAGGCTCTCATTTTGTGGGGAAACACGAGGGTGACCTTCAAGTTTGACTTCGAGCTGAGTCAGACTAAAACTAATAAAATCTGACATGGGTTAGGCAACATCTTGACCAGTTTGCAACATAACAGACGGCTAAATTTGCAAGAAGAAACGCTGCCGGAAATGATTCCAAGAGCAGTAATGGATTAGTCACGTACAAACAGAGCAGCGAAGTTGGTCAAGAATAATGATAGCATTTTATTTTCTCTTATTTCATCCCAGAAAGCAGCACCGGTTTTATTCTGAGGAACAAGCTGACAAATTTTCCGAATACGTCTCCGCTCTCTCTCTTCCACTCTCTAATTTTTGTCCACATTCCATTAACTTCTCTCTCCCCAGCTATAAATATCCTGCATGTCAGATTGGACGAGAGCAAGGGCTTTAGTCGCTTTATGGAAAAAAAAGATGGGGGAGGTAAGTATAGATAGATAGGGGGTAAATGGGAAAAGGGAGGGAGGGAAAGGGTGGGAGAGCTTGGGGCTTTTGCGGGGGTTTAGTTTAAATGAAACCAGGTGTGTTGTGGGACCCGTAAGAGGGGGCATTGGGTAAGAAGATGGGGGGGGCAAGTGTGTGAATCTGTGAGTTGTTGTTCCGCCTGCGATTTGGACGGATTTGGAATTTTGGTATTTGGGCCGCAGACCAGGAATTTGCATCCTGGGGGGTCAGGGAGAGGGGGTTTGGAGAGTGGCAGTGCAGGGGGCCAGATGGGGGAGGAGGTCGGGGTGGGGGGGGTAAGAATGGGCTGTCCCTCTCCTCCCTCTCTTCTCTCCGTCTCTTGCCTGCGCTCTTTCTCTCCCTCCCTTTGCATGTGTTCAGCTGCTCCAGCTGTCGGTCTCCCCACTCACTCTCTCAGGGTCATACAGGCAGGAGTTTAAGGGACCACTTCTGTACGCCAACTCAGCCGGGACGACCGCAGCTAGCAGAAGGACACACTGGTCAGAGGGAGAAGACACATCCGGAAAGATTCAGCTGTGAGTTTCCCTTTGTTTCTTTCACATCTGTTAGCGGAGATCTGTGTCAACAAGACAATGACTTACCACGTTTGCTGAGTTTTAAGACGAACTATCGGAGGTGAGATGTACCTCTTACCCACTTTTCTGGTACAGGCCATACACGTCACAGCTGCACCACTGCTGTGCTCTCCGCTCTGCTACACTTTGCTCTTCACAGGAGCCAAGATACTGTGGCTCACAGTCTGTGTAGTTTGCTTCTTGGCTCCGTGCTTCAGAGACTGTAATAGGGGGATAGACAGGAAGAGAGGTAATGAGTCACAGGGCATGTATTATTGTACAGTATGTTGCAAAAGTTCTTCCACCTCATCCCTCTTGTACAACTCTTAAAGTCAGTGTCACAATCTCAGTTTAGTCACGCAGAGGGGGGGTGAATTCTTCCTCTCTTTTCCTCTATTAAACAAGAAGAAACAGGTGGCAGCTACAAGAACATACACACACAAACGTCTCTGGATAACATCACAGACAGTTTAGGATGCTGCTTTACGACTTTGACAGTGTATTTTATCACTGTTTATACAGTTTACTCCTAATAGCTAACATGTGACAGCTCCACCATCACTGTAATGTCTCAGGTGGGATTATAAAAGCAACGGGAAGGAAGACGAGGTCCCCTGAGAGCAGCGCATCATCTCGTGCCACATTGTATGCATACACTAATACATCACAGCCCTTTAACACCCTTTACACAGGGAGACAGAGCAGTATCAGCAGTGAGAGAACAGAACGGTTAAAGTGTGTGAATTTCTCCCACAGGCCATTATCCATCACTGGCTAAGGAGTTTCCCAGAACAGGACGTTGTGTGTGTGTGTGTGTGTGGGTGTGTAAAAGTGACCCCCTAGTTGTGGATTTGCAGGTTCACTGCCACAACGGTAACAAAGCACAGCTGGAAAGCGCAGGGCCACCATGTTCTCAGGCTGCTCTACGCACAGCCGAGCAGAACAACACAAAGTTAGCTATGTATACACTACAACCCACGATGGTCGTCCTGCTGTTTACACTCTGTGTGTGTGTGTGTGTGGTCCAACTGTGTGTTTTCCCTCGTCCCCATGTGGTCACTTTTGTGAGCCGCCTGACATTTTGCTTGTTAAATTGTGCTGACAGTGAGAATTTAGAAATGGGTCAGCCTGCTGTTACTGAGGCAAAGACAGGCCCCAAATGGTGATTATATTATTGTTGATACTACACACAACAGGTGTTCGGGCAGGGATATTTTGAGGTGTCAGCGAGGGCCAGAGGTGGAACCCAGTCAGTGTTTTGCAAGTCGCAAGTCTCAAGAACTTTGACTTTTGAGTCCTAAACAAGTCATAATGACTCCTCACCAAAAGGCCATTTTAACTTTACAGAAATCATGAATGCTTCATTTGAATTCATTTGTTAAAACTAGCGTGACTGAACTTAATCATACGACAGCAGTGCTGACATTGCACTTTCATACAGCACTATTAACTAATACCACAATTAGCTCATAGCACCCACATTATCTCGCTGACTATGTTAAAACTTCTTCCCCTGTTCTTTGTGCAACCTCAGATGACGAATGAGGTTTGAAGTTGTTGCGCCTTCAGTCTGCATGTTTTGCATACTGCAATTTGGTTTCTCTTGACAACCACATAATTTTTGTATGTGTTTTGTAATTATTTTTGGAATTTTTTCAACTGGTGCTCAGTAACGTGACGTTAGTTCTTCATGGTTTTCTCCTAACTTGACTGGACGCTGTCAGATTATTTCAAAGGGAATCTGGGGAATTAAGTGTCGACTTGTTGGTAATTAATAAGATTAACATTAGCTGATTCAGGAAATTAAGGGAAACAAATTGATTCATGGCACACAATACCCAATTTTTGGGCTTGGGTATCAAGTATTTTTAGGTCAAAAGGCTTAAGTCCAAGACAAGTCACAAGTCACTGGTGTTTAAGTCCAAGTTGAGTTGCAAGTTTCCCACTTTTATCGAGTCTAAAGTCAGTGAATTTGTGACTAAAGTCTCATTCAAGTCCAAGTCAAAACAAATGTCAAAACAGTAAAAAAACAAAAAAGAAGCCCATCACAAGCTCCCAGAGCTCAACACGTCTTCAGATGTCTTGTTTTGTCTGACCAACAGTTTAAAACCCACAGATATTTCAAATCATCATAACTGTGAAGCTGACACCAATAAAACATTTAGTATCTTTGATTGAAAAATGACAGAAATGATGAATCTATGTACTTGTTGATTATTTTGATGTGATGTGGTGTTACAGTCAACCTGTGTTTCTTTACGTCAGTCAAAACCCAGACAATGAATTCCTGCACTCGGGTCACATTCCCTGGCATCCTCCTACACAATGAGGGGAGATGAGAGGTTAGGGGAGCAGTGGCTGGAGGTTTGGCACCAGCTTTCCTCTTATGTGAACCATGGGGGGTTTCCCAGAACCTGATACTCTGGGAACCACTGCCGTGGCAGGGCATCCCAGCTGGGAACTGGCGCCCACATCCTTGCCACGGGCATTCCAGAGGTCCACCGCCACTTGATCTCCAGCGGCATCAGGGCAACACCCATGCATCCCTGCTGCCCGCACTCAGTAGCCAGTGAGTGACTGGACCCTGAGCTGATGGTCAGTTTGTTTTTGGGTGGTTTTGGGCCACATTCTTGCTGGTTGTAAGTGTCCGCCGGGCCAAGTCAGAGAGGTCACGTACTGTGGCTGTCTGATTGCACGGCGGCATGTGTTACCGTCCATGCTTACAGGGTGAGAGCATGTTTTGCTGCATTTCACCACGCAAAGGTCACAAATGGCCGATGATGTCATCCATCAAGTATTTGAGGGTGCCCACGTCACCTTGTGGCCTTCTGTTTCTCTCAAAACGAGACACAACAATAAGCAGTGCCTGCAAATGTGGCCTCGGGAGTTTACATCAGTGCGTTTGTGCACGTAGACAGTCAGTGATTATAACCTTCCCGTCACGTATTTTAACTGGAGCTCACTGACTTTGCAAACAGCACTTGCTCAGAATTTTTTTCATTCCTTCAATTGGTCGACTCTTTTGGTCTGCGGGAGCTGGAAAAGGTGATTTGTTTATGTTTTAGAGTCAGCTTAAACACTTATAGCCTCTCTCCAGGAACATTAACTGAAGGGTGGTTGTGTGTGTGCTGGGAGGAAAGCCCAGTCCATCAGAATACTCAGCAAACATAATACACTATAAATCTAAGTCAAACACACACAACACTGCACAGAATGTTGTAGTAAAATATTAAGGTCATTTACGTAAGTGAAAGAAGCAATACCACAGTGTAAAAACACTCCACTGCAAGTCAAAGCCCTGCATTCAGAATTCTGGTTGTGTACAAAATACATAAGCATTACCAGCAAAATTAACTTTAAGGATCCAAAATGAAAGTACTCACTATGCCTAATGGCCCCTTTCAATATAGGGCCCTTACACCCACAACGTCATATTTCATAATAATACAGTTATTATCTAGCAAAACAAGATCAAAAGTAGCTACTACATAAAACTTCAGGAGCTCTTCTGTTAGTTTTGTTTCTGGACACCTTTGTCATTCTTACTGGTGACCTCATGTAAATCCTAGCAGAGCTTGTCATCATTGAACCAGAGCAGGTCTAATCAGCCACATGAATGAAATCACCTGTGTGGGTGTGCAGCACCTTTAATCGATAATAATAAACATTGTTTCCTTATTAGCTGATCACATTTTGTATATATCTTATAAATTAATGCAACTACTAACTTCAGTTCTCAGATAAATGTAGTGGAGTAAATATGCAAGAACAATATTTCCCTGCTTCCCCAAGCTAACTAGCTCTTAGCATGCTACTTAGCATGGTCCTAACATGCAAGTCAACACAGTAGGCTACTTACTTTAACAGGTTGTTTGTTTCATTTGGTGGCTCAATATAATTTTTGTTACCAAGTTTCTTTATGCCATTGCTCCAAGAGCTCATAGTCCCAAAGACTCAGTCATCTACAAATAGGCCCATTGGACCAAAAGACCATTTGACTGACAGTGTGGTCTAACAAAAACAAATGTGCATTGCTCCAACGGGCTGTTTGAGAATTATGGTCATTGGACCGTCTCACTATGGTGAAGGCACGGCCTGCCATACTCTGCCTGTGACTGGCTTACCCTGATTATTTTACCCTAACTCAACCAATTACACACCTCGTGTTTGTTTTCAGGACAATGGGTGCCAATTATTCTTCCTCCTATAGTGAAGGCAGGACCCACCCTGCACTGGCAAATAGCCGTTGCCTTTGTTGAATGGGTTGGTTTAGGCTTGAGGAGTGAGGTTGGTTAGGGTAAGAATATCAGGATATGCCAATCAGAGGCAGAGTAGGGTGGGTCATGCCTTCGTGTACTGGGCACTTGGACAATTGGGCTTTCAGTCCAGTGGTAAAAATTTTCTGACAATGTGGCACTTCATAATTATGATTCGTCAGAAGAACGAGCAGTCCTTCCTTTTTTATTTTAAGACATGTCAAGAGACATTCATCCATCCATTTTCAACCGCTTATTCAGGGCTGGATAAGTGGGGGCAGCAGGAAGTCCAGAAGCACTCCAGAAGTCCCTCTCCCCAGCAACACTTTCCAGCTCCTCCTGGGGGATCCTGAGGTGTTCCCAGGCCAGATGAGATATATAATCTCTCCAGCATGTTCTGGGTCTGCCCCGGAGCCTCCTACCAGTTGAATGTGCCCAGAACACCTCTAACAGGAGGCACCCAGGAGGCCTTTGGACACGAAAGAGCAGCGGCTCTAGTCCAAGCTCCTTCCAGATGTTTGAGCTCCTCACCCTATCTCTAAGGATGAGCCTAGCCACCCTCCTGAAGAAACTCATTTCGGCAGCTTGTATCAGTGATCTCTTTCTTTCGGTCACTACCCAGAGCTCATGACCATAGGTGAGGGTTGGGAAGTAGATGGACCAGTGAATGGAGAGCTTTGCTTTCTAGCTCAGCTCCCTCTTCACCACGACTGCCAATCCATCTCACGCTCCATTCTACCCTCCTTCACGAAAAAGACCCCGAGATACTGGTAATTTCAAAAAAGTTTCCCCAACCAGTGGGGTAACTAATCTGTGGCAACTGGTAGTGAAACCAGTTTTATAGTGATGGTGGCTGGACAACTGAGTGCGTCATGACACTCACATGAAGTTGCCCTCTTTTAAACCAGTTGGGTTGGCCACTGCAGTCAAGAGCAGATATAATGTATAAGGCCAGGGGGGAGTATCAGAGGGGAGGGCACATTGGCTTTATGACGGCACAGCCTGATACCCCCTGCAGGGCCTAGTGATGAGACAAACGTCATTAACATGAATACTGGGCTTTCATGAGAGGCCTCCCCAGCTTCTGGCACACTTTACCCAGAGCTGCAACAGCTAATCAATAAGACGTCAACTGTACCTCCACTTAGAGCTTCTAGCTCAGTAACACATGGAGCAGCCAGTGGGAATTGTAAAGTTCCTCTGTGTAAATCCTCATTTGAACAAACGGCTTTTTCTGTCCGTGAAATTAACATGTGGAATTCTTTACCTACAGAACTCAAATTGGATCCTGATTTCGATCACTTTAACTCAAACTGAGACAGAATTTGAAGAGGAATAAGTTATGCAGTCATGGATAATTTGGTGCTTCCTATTCTATGGTGCTAATTATGTATTGCAGTTTGTGTCTTGTATTGTTCTGCCTGTATTTCTATTGTTGTTTGTACTTTGTGTTCTTGTTGCTGAGTCTTTCCTATCTTAAGGCCCAGCTAGGGGCGGGCATTGCTAATTAGCTTAGGCTCTAAATGCTGTGGTGTACTGTGGCAACTTATTTGATAACCCCATAATCGATTTGAGTAATTTTTAAAGAAGAAAGCTTTGATTCCAGCTTCTTAAATGTGAATATTTCTGGTTTCTTTACTCCTCAATGTCAGGAAACTGAAGGTTGTGGACAAAACAAGACTTTTGGGGACATCATTTTGGCCTTTGGGAAATGCTTATCAACATTTCCTGACTTTTTATACCCCCAAAAATGAATTGATTAATTGAGAAAATAATCAACAGATTACTCAACGATCAAAGTAATCGTCAGTCGCAGCCCTAATTTTACTGAGCGTTGATAAGTCTCTGATGTAGAGTAGATTTAGGGCCTTAAATCTTCTTCATCCACAGGGATTCCTTGTCTCAGTGACAAATTAACTTGTGTCTCACAGACGGGAGCAGCTGAGCAGGACATGCTGTTGTAAAATATGTATCTAATAGCCAGGATTTATTTGCTCCCAGCGACATTACTCTGATACACAGTGAACCTCAGGGGGCAGCGTGCGGCGAGACTATCATTCCACTGAATTGTAGTCTGACAGTCTGCAGACACAGTCTGTCCTCTGTGAGCAGTAAATATGAAAGTATTTCTGTTCATGTTGACTTTGTTATTTTCAGCCGAAGGATGGAGTACGTCACAATGTTTATGTTTTTTACCTGGCAGACTGATTCATTCCATTTATTCCTGCTGCGATCAAGGGGGAACTGTTTTGTTAACAAACAGTGAACCAAGTCCAAGACGCTAACTGTTTGTGTTCTGACTGACTACTTAAAAACTGGCTCCAGTGCTTCTTTGCTTCCAGTTGATTTATCCACTTCAGCTGTAGGAGCACTCATAGCACCAGTGTGTTTTCAGACTGAAACCATTTTGTGATTTCTCAGTTTCTAATGTTGTTTTTTTTTTATGTCTCTCCCTCTGATATACAGATACCACGTCTTGGCTGCCCGTGTCATCTGTACAGCAGCGCTACCTGTCTGTTAGCAGTGTGTGTGTGTGTGTGTGTGTTTGTGTGCATGTTTACGTGTGTTCCCATCCCATCTCCCGCAAATTAGTGCATTAGTATGCAGGGTGCTTGTGTGTCAATCTTGTGCGTGTGCATATGTGTGTCTGTGCTCCTCCGCAGTGCTATTTCACAGCCGCCCACAGAAAGTGACACCTACACGGTAAGGATGGACGGATCTCTCTGCCTCCTTCTCTCCTCCTCTCACGCTCCTTTCTTTTTATACGCACCTTCTTTTTTTTTCTCCATATGATATATCACAGATTCTTCATGTGGAAACGTTGGCCTCAAATCCCCTCTCTCCTCTCTTAGCTCTATTTATGTCCTCATCTTCTACTTGTTTAATATTCCACAGCAGTTTTCCCTCTTCAGCATTTTATAGTAGTCGTAGCTGGGGGTAATTTTAGCTCTAATTCCATGTTTCTTTTAGGCGTCACTTTTTCTTTCCATGCAGCACACAGCAATACTTTTTTCCCCAGAATGATAATGACCCTTTTTCCAAACAGTGGCCTTAAATTCTTTGTTTCTGAAGTGACATTTGGCTTAGAGGAAAGTAGTTTAAAATGTCACAAATCCTTTAACAGCGGTAGACTTCTTTTCTCTTTGGCCTAGCTTCATGAACACAGGGGAAACAAGTTTCTTGGTTTCTTTTTTTACAGTCCCACTACTGGGGATATATTATGTATTATGAATATATTATGCAACTACTTGGCTCGGAGGGCCTGTTCACATCTTTCTTTCCATCGTTTTCTCACACTCTCTTTCTCTCTCTGCTGCTTTTTGTAGGAATGCACAGATGGGTATCACTGGGACCATCAGACTGAGCACTGCAAAGGTAAAGTGCTCTTTTACCTGCGTTTATTCCATCTCAACACCTAATTCTCAGCTGTGATCATGCTGTTGCTCTTCATGTTGTGTCCTGATTTGTTCCTAACAAGTAAAGTTTTGTCTCATCAGACATAAACGAGTGTGAGACCATTCCAGATGCCTGCAAAGGGGAAATGAAGTGCTTCAACCACTACGGAGGGTACCTGTGCCTTCCCCGCTCTGCGTCAGTCATCCCGGCCCCAGAGCCCGCCATCACGCCCACCGAGACCAACCCCTGCCCTCTGGGCTACGAGGTGCAGGGAGACAGCTGTGAGGGTGAGTGTCTGGTTTGTAGGTCTGGGGGGTTGGAGGTGGACAGGTGGCCACAGGATGAGTGATCATTAAGCATGTTTGTGTGTGTGATTGTGTAAGTTTATTGTCGGCGGCCACAGATTGCAAGGAACAGGTGGCTGTAGCAGGTGTTGGGACTGGAGGCTGCATGTTGGTGCAAACTGCGTGGGTGTGAGTGAGTATGAGTCCACGGGGGGCAGACAGACAGTGTAGGAATTTGGAAGATTTCACACCAGGACAGCTGCTGTGTTTTTAAGAATCTGACTAGCAGCGAGAAACCTACTCACACTGGAGGACAGCGAGGTGTTCATCTGGGACAGCACACATGATTCATCATGATGTGATATTCTCAGCTGTCGGGTGCAAATGAGGAGAACAGAGTCGCCATCGTCTGCACTGCAACAGTCACACTGTGTCATTCAGTCACGGTGAATGACGCCGTGATTCATCACAATAACCACATTTCTTTTACATGTGTGTCCCTGTTTCACTTCACCCACAAACACAGATATCAACGAGTGTGAGCGAGACGAACATGACTGCCAGCCCAGCCAGGAGTGCATCAACACACTGGGTGCCTTCACCTGTCAGTGCCCTGATGGTTATCGCAAGGTTGGCACAGAGTGCATTGGTGAGATAATTTGAATTTATCCTGTAACTAAGCAAGCTTAAATAAGACAACTCAGATTTTTTTTGCCACATGGCCTGAGGGGGAAGTTAGTTACAGCTGCAAGAGTGACCTTAATAATGTGCAGGAATGTGAATATCCCTCCTCTGACTCTGTTTCTCCATCTCAGACATTGATGAGTGCAGGTACAGGTACTGCCAACATCGCTGTGTCAATGTCCCCGGCTCCTTCTCCTGTCAGTGTGAACCTGGTTTCCAGCTGGCAGGAAACAACAGATCCTGCATTGGTGAGTGACGCCCTCTGCAACGAATTATAAGACTCAACTTTCACAGCCACTGTCTCTGAAATCAGGCAAAAAGTCTGCAAAGTGTAGCTTCCACTCAATTCAGTCTTACAGAGATCGTACTCAGGCTTTTGTCAAAACATACAGAACGTAAAGCCTTTGAAAATGTAGTTAAGAATATTACAGATTTCACACATCAAAGTGTGCTTACAGGTCTTGGGGAAAACTATTGCTTAAGTCAGTGCTTATGTCAATAGTCATATCAAGTCTATAAAGCCTTGACTACAAGTTTGAAAAGAAAAAAGAAAACATGGGGGTGCTGAGTTGGAAAGAAGTGAGCTTGCCAAACCTCTTTGGATCCTCATCTCGGCTTTAGACCAAAGGTTAGAGGCTATATCAGAGGCCACTAGCATAACTAAACCAAATCTCTAATGCAACTGTCCATGACCAAGTTGCATTGTTGGTAACATAGGCACCAGAGGAATGCGTAGAATTAAAAAAGATGATGTCTCTGGTTCTGCTGCATCTATTTGGATCTCTTTTTCAAACTGTCCCTCATGAGTCTGACAATATTACAGTAGTGTGATGCTAAATCAGTAAGGCACACCTGAAAGTATTTCTCTGTAACATTACATGACTACATAGGTTGACAATTTACGTCAAGATATCAGAGGAAAAAAAAATAGTAAGGGTGTTGCTCTTCAAAAAATATTATCACATATTCATGGACAACATTTTAAAACTTTCTGTGACTTATTAAGGATCCTTTTTTTTTTTTTTTTTTTTGACGTATGTTTACTTGTCTGGCGTTTTTCAAACATATCATATTTACAGGGTTTAAAGCCTGTGACTCTGCACCAGTCCGTTAGAACTGAAGAAGCCTCTTGGATGAGAGGCGAAACATCCTCAAGAAACTCAAGCAAGTCAAGTTGCCTAAGATATAGCACTTAAGATCAGATTCAAACTCTATTCAAACAGAATTTCAGTAGCTGGTAAACATGAAGGGAGAGACGAAAACACATCACACATCGAGGCACGTTAAAGCTACCTTGCATCGACGACTACAAAAAATAAATTTGCTGTTATGTTACATTACTTGGAAGGTTATTCACGGAAGATTACTAACACAATAAAAATCCATGACTTTTACAAATTCCATGACTTTTTCGGGCCTAGAAAATGTGATTGTGAGACTCCATTACCCTTCCAGCGAGTCTGTAGCACTCGCCATTGTGGGTATTACTTCTCATTGGTTATCTGGCACACTGCTTGACAACAGCATGACATTACTCTTGGGACTGACTGGCTAATTGACTCCCCCAATAGCGCTCATTTGTAATTTTTTATTGTAACTGAGAAACCTCTGCTTCATGACTCAATGCCAGACCAATCAGTCAACTCGCACTTGGAGGAGTTAGTTGGATTCAAAGGTCTGGACTCTGGCACATTGGGCACAAACACACAGAGCCCTTCTCGCTCTGACCCAGTGAGGAAAACAGCACGGACAAAAAACTCTTGTGAAGAAACCAAAACTGTTTCAACTCTGGCAGAAAATTGTGTATTAATTTTGGACCCCATCACTCACAGTAACGAGCTAATTGAGAAAATATGTTTGCAGGGCCTTTGAATTTGGTGATTTCTGCCTTCAGTTAAAGTTTTTGATTAAATGTTTTTGGGATGTGTGTGCTCTTTGACTCTGTCAGCATTTAAATGAAACTATTAAATCTGCCTCCCTGCAGATGTGAATGAATGTGAGATGGGTGCCCCCTGCTCTCAGAGGTGTTATAACACATACGGCACTTTCCTTTGTCGCTGTGACCAGGGCTATGAACTGGGGCCTGATGGCTTCGCTTGTAACGGTAAGAAGGATTAATACGAGTGCAAATTTCACAGTGTCAGTGATGCCAGCCTCCTCTGTTTTTTGTTCCCGTTCCACCTTTAACTGTGAACAATGAATAAAACCTGAACTTTTCACTCGGCAGACATTGATGAGTGCAGCTACTCCAGTTACCTGTGCCAGTACCAGTGTGTCAACGAACCTGGGAAGTTCTCCTGTGTGTGCCCAGAAGGATACCAGCTGCAGGGCACCAGACTATGCCAGGGTAAGCACAAGCCCGCCTCCATTTCCTCCCAGCACCAACACCTTCCTCTCTGTGCTTTCAGAGTTACAAAAGCTGCACTGATTCAAAGGTTACTCATTCTTTGACCGCAGCTCCGTTCAAATCAGACATCATCAACTGTTTTTCTCTCCCGCAGATATAAATGAATGTGAGACAGGTGAACATCAGTGCACCGACACGCAGACCTGCGTGAACATCCACGGACGATACCAGTGTGTGGACACAAACCGCTGCCAAGACCCTTATGTGCAGGTGTCTGAGAAGTGAGTGACACCTCATGAAAGCCCGTGTGTGTGTTCATAAGCAAACATGCACACTTCACACACCTTTTCCCAATTACTAAAATATGTGCTGGCCATCAACTCTGAATATAATCAGCCCCTGTATTGAGTATGGCTCAAGCTGCAAGATTACCCCAATTACTTTTTCCACGTATGAGTCCAACTTTGCAACCTTTTCTTCTGAACATGGTCCAGTGCAATAAGAAAACTATTACACTGTTACAAGTGTTGGATTGGTAACAGGTGTGTGTCACTATTAACAAATCCCAGATGATTTGGTCATATAAAATGTGTTTTAGAAAAACATGAGGGAAAAAATGGCTACTGTTCAATATTTTTTAACATTTTATAGGAGAACTTTGCTCTGTTATATTACTCCCTCTGCTGGCTGATATATGAACTACTGTTAATGTTGTCTGCACCAAATCTTACTACAGTTTGCAGTTACTGTACTCACCTTACTGTGTGTGTCTGTGTGTGTGTGTGTGTGTGTGTATCCAGCCGCTGTGTGTGTCCTGTCAACAAGCCCGTCTGTCGAGATCTGCCTTTCTCCATCGTCCACCGCTACATGAGCATCACCTCTGAGCGCTCTGTCCCCTCCGACATCTTCCAGATTCAGGCCACCAGCGTCTCTCCAGGGGCTTACAACACCTTCCGCATCCGCTCCGGAGATGAAAATGGAGACTTCTACATCAGGGTGAGAACTGTTAGCACAGAGAGGAGTATGATTAATAATTGTTAAAGTTAAAGGGACAGTTCACCACAAAATCTAAAATGCATAGTTTTCCTCTTATCTGTAGTGCTATTTATCAGTCTGGATTGTTCTGGTGGGAACTGCCAAATATTAGAGATATCAGCTGTAGAGATGTCTGCCTTCTCTCAAAAATAATGGAACTAGATAGCACTTGTCTTGTAGAACTCAAAGCACCAAATAATGAATTTGTACAAATCAACAGCAATGTCTCTTTCCAGAAATCATGACCCAGTTACTCAGGATAATCCACAGACCTTGTTGTGTTTCAGCTGTTTCATGTAGGAACTATTTTCTGTCTACCAAACTACACCCGCCTACCAAATCACCATGCAGAAGCAAGGGTGCATCTACTGCTAGCTCATCTACTGTAGCACCACTGAGCTAGCTAATGTTACAGCTCAACTGGGGAGAACACTATCAATGTTTACATCTCGTGCTGTCACGTAGAGTAGATGCATGCTTCCTTCTGTGCAGTGATTCGGTGTGCTACTATGAAAACTGCTGACAAACCTGGATCAAAGTGATGATTCGTGGCTTATGAGCTTTAACTGCACAGACTGTAAGGAGCAGCTCTATTATATTTGTGTTCGGACCTGTTTGCAATTGACAAACAGAGTGAAAAATTGAATTTCCCCTCAAGGATTAATCAAAGTATATATATATAAAAAATATTTAGGGTTTGATGGATATGTTGGAAAAACACTGACACTTTTTATTAAACATCACATATTTGTCAGGTAGTGCTGTACCCTTCACGTTACTGGAGTTCCTTCCTGACTAAACCTACTTGAAATGTCACCCATTACACTGCATTCTTAAGCAGTGCATCCTAACAAAGGAACTCCTAATACAACATCCAAATATACTGAGTTTCTGTTACCACTGAATAAATCTGTGTAGGTCCAAACACGAAAAAAAGCCGATTAGTGTCAAAGAAGAACTTTAAGATGCTGTAGATCGTGTGGTTTTTGGTGTGTTAAACTTTGTACTGTAGAACAGGTCAACACTGCCTTTCAGTGCAGATCTATTTAAAGGTACACTATGTAGGACTGTCGGTTACTGTTTGCCAACACTCTTGCCAGAAAAAGTAAAAGTAAAAGCCAACCCTCAGATTCACTCTTGTTTGACATTTCGCCTTGCTATATTTGCTTTTTTTTTTTTTTTTTGGCGCTGTGTCTCTTGGATGCCTGCTGCTTAAGCTCTGGCACCGGGTCACTACCTTTTTATAAAGCCCCGACCTCAGCTTAAGGTTTTTGATTCAATCCAAGCCTGCAGGAGAAAAGTGTAAAACCACAAAAAGATGGAGACCTGTTCTAACTCTTCTATTCTATTCTAACATTTTCTAACTTGACATCATTATGAATAGGGTCCCTCTGTATTTCTTGTTGCAATGTTGCAGTAGATGACAAGGAAACTATCAAGAAGGAACAGTCATGACAACAGTGATGGTATTTGAGGAGCCAGACTTTGGTGTCAGTTCTATTGAAGTTAATAGGGAGGGCAATGCAAATCACACTTTAACCAATCATATCTTTGTTGTTTCAACTTTTACTAAAAATACTTCCACCAGAATAAAAAAAACACACAATGTAATGTAGATTGATGTTTTTTATCTAAATATGTGCATGGTGTGGTCTCCAAACAGATCATGGCTCTGTCCGTCAGCTGCATCTCAGCCTCTGCTGGACAGAGCCATAATCTGTTTGGAGACCGAACGAATGAACAAAGAAAATGAAGAAAATGAACATGTCAGTCAATTGAATATTTTTGGCAGCTCTTCCATGCACCAAGTGTAATAAAGAACCAAAGCTACCTCATGTAAGCTTAGCTCTAAAAATCAGGTTGATGCTACACTGAGTGACAAACGATAGCTATTGGTTATCTTCTAAGACACTGAGGTGATTATAGCAATGAAGCAAAAAACACCATATACATAAATATTAATAATAATATGTACATAACTAACTGAAAAGTCAAATAGCATTAACCAACTTAAGGATGAAAAAGCACTGTATACACTTCAGTGTCTTACAAGGTAACCACTCAGTTAGCCTGACTTTTGGAGCTCAGCTAATGTCAGGTTGCCATGGGCCCTTTTTTAAATTTGGTGCTGTGAAGAGCTGCCAAAAATATTAAATTGTCTGACATATACTGTCTTGCGAAAGCGAGAGGTTATGATAAAGCTCTGTAAAGCTGACCGCCCTCCTCATCATAAAGTTGATGGTGTGTTTCTTTACTTTAGCAGCCAGCTAGGCTAAGTGACTGGCTAACCTCGCTATTTTAAGAGTGAGTTCGTTATCAAAATGATCAATAACACCAAACACAAACAGTAAATATGATCAGCAATATGTACAAAGTTAACTGTGAAAAATCAAGTAGTGTTAACTAACTTAAGGTGGCACTTAAGGTTGGAGGGGAAAGCAATGTTAGCCACTGTAGAGCTGACAGGAAGTAAAAAGACGTGAACTTTGAAAAACAGATTGTGCAAGTAAAGAATTCCTTTATGTAAAAGTATGCAGTAATATGCTCACTAACATTTGTCTTGTCTTCTCCAGCAAATCAATAATATCAGTGCTATGCTGGTGCTGGCCCGCGCTGTGTCGGGGCCCAGAGAGTACACGTTGGACCTGGAGATGGTGTCAGTCAACCCTCTGCTCAGCTACCAGGGCAACTACCAGACCAGCTCCGCCCTCAGACTCTCCATCTACGTCGGGCCGTACTCCTTTTAAAGACGAAGAAGAGTGGAGGGACACAGAGAAAGATGGAGAGGGAGAGAGAGCTGGGGAGATAAAAACGGAAAATGAAGCTGTAAAACAAAAGTGGTCGATGCAGTTCAACCAGTCACTGTGATGTTACACTCTTTATACACTTTTTGTACTTCCAAAGAAAGCCACACATTTCTGTCAGCCATATACATTCAGTACAGTATACAAATGTAGCAGTAATGTCTAACAGATAAATAACAGCCCTGAAATAATTCAGATTTGTTCCCTTGTGTTTAATGTGTTACGTTTACTGTTATTTTTTAATCGACACCTATCTGACAGCATCATTCTGTGGTCAATGTGTATGAAAAGGGATTTTATTTTCTTCACATCTGCTCAGGGTGATAACAAATCTGTGTGACATATTTCCCGTCTGTCTTCAGGTGGAGATATTCACGCCCAGATTAATCTGTTTTCACCAGTTTACATCCTTATCTGCGGCTCCGCTCTGTTTGTCACTTTATTCGTGTCAGCCCCATTTCCTGTTGACAGACGTGATTCAGTAACCACTCAGATCAGACCTCAGCAATCCACGCTCCTCCGTCACCCTCCACTGTTCATTCCTATGTACAAGCGCTCCATCACTGCCTTTTGTAGGTTTGTCACATTGCTGATTGTGTTGTACTTTGTTTTTTTTTTTTGTCTAAGATTTAAACCCAAATAAAACAATATACCTTTTCCTCTGTGTCAGTTACTACAACACATTCTTATTTATCTTTTTATTCTCATTCTCCAAAGTGAGGATTTGCTCCTTTTTTCAGTTTTTATCATTATAAACTGAATATCTTTGGGTTTTAGATTGTTGATCACCTGTAGAAAGCTTCTTGGGCTCTAGGAAAATTAAAATATACATAAATTGGTAATAGATATTGGTTACGGCCCTGAAAATAATATTCTTCTAATATTCTTCATTGACAATGTGCTAAGAGTTGGCCTATCGTTCCTGTGGAGGCCAAGTATTATCTTTAAATGATGTTGTTCCACACAAAAGCTCAGTGAAGTGACTGTGTGCTGCTCTTTGAGGGAGTTGGGGCAGTTTACCTGATGCACATTCATCAAACGAGCCAGTTAGTCTTCATCCTATTTTCTTTTGTGGCTGAAAAATACTGTTTGAAAACACTTCCAAAAGAGGGCAAATCTCACCCTTGTGTCACTTGTTGAAGTTTGTTTTTGAGGAGCTCCTTGTTGCCTGTTTAGTAAGGTGTGTTCCTCCCTTTGGCCTCAGGGAGGCAGTAATGAGCCTGTAATGGTTTGGTGCACCACAGTGAAGCAAGGTAGACTCCACACAAGAAAACTTACTTGGGCAAATAACTCCAAGGTGAGGATTATGCTTTATTTGTACAGTATTTTTCTGTTTTACAAGAGAAAATACTTTACAGAGCTCGTCTCTATGAGAAATGGAGACTGCCAGCAGATTAGATAGTCCAAACAGGGACTGTATGATGTCACTCTGAGCTCTCTGACAGGCAACACCATTATCTGGTCCTGTCCAAGCTCCAACCCCCAGGGGCTGAAAAATAAAGTGCCAAAAACTGCAGTTCCTCAACAGGCCACTTGTGGCTGGCTCCAAAAACTCAGTCCCCGTTCACCCCCATGTTGAAATGCTCAGCTTTACAGCAGAAACAAACATGTTTCCAGCCTGGTACAAAAATGGGTTTGGTCCCTGAAGCTAATTTTCCTGTAAATGACAACTATTGGGGGACTCACCTGTTCACATTTTAGTCAGGCTTAAGGTTTTGCAGAGTTAAGGGTGTGGCCGCTTTGAGTGACATGCTGTCTATGGGGAATCTCCATATATAGCCCATTTTACACTGCCTGTTCAAGGTAGGAATACTACACTGTTATTCTGCCTTGCAATTCTCTACAGAAGGTATGACTGCGGAAAAGGGGGACAGAGTTGTCCTACCTTTAAACCATCAGTGGATGGAACAGTGCCAAATCAACGTCTATGTTGAAGAGACAGCCTGCAGGATGACATATCATGTGCGCAACCCACCATCAGGAGATGTAAAAAGCAGCTAGAAGCATTTGGCAGCTAACACAAAGAAGAAGAGCAGCAAAAGGAAATGTCAGCAAATGGGAGCCAATAAGGTCGGGGAACGCCTTATTCCCTGAGCAGGATGAGATTAACTGTCATATGACAGGGACAATAAATGCTTGTTATTGCCATGTTATGCCATTTTTTTTTTTGTTTAAAAAGCATCACCCAACATGTATGTCACATGTCACACTAGAGGCCAACCTTGTTGTGTTATACATCACGCCCATTACAGCTCTTTTGCTTCCAGAAAGCCGGCATGCTATCTGAGATCACACACTGGGGTGGCATTATGCTGGTGTTGTTTGGTTGCGTATAAAAAAGCAATGCCCGTGTAATGATGGGTCGTCATTGTGGCCCTATCGCAGGATCTCTGTGTAAAAAGGGCTTATGACTCAGATCCAACCCTCACTCCTATACAGCTCCACCCTCTTGACTCAATATGGTCACTTCTGGCTCCAAAAACCCAAGACAGTGACGGCCAAACTGCCAAACTCAAGGCCTCAAAACGGGAGCCCACAAACCAAAGAATGACATCATGGTGGCGACATCCATTATTTTTATACAGTCTATGGTCCTGACCTAAAAGTACATTTGGGCTGCCTTTAAATTGTACTTTTGGGGCGCCCAGTAGCTCAGTGGGTAGAGTGGCAGCCCAATGTAGAAAGGCAATGTCCTTACCACAGCAGCCGCTGGCTCGATTCCAGCCTGCAGACCCACCTTCACACCTCAAACTGTCCTGTCATTAAAGGCAGAAAGCCCAAAAAACAATCTTGAAATTGTACTTTCACCCAATTAAGGAGCAGATACTTAGCAGTGTGACGGCCCACCTGACCAACCTGTCAGCTTCACCTGACACGGCCTGCTCAGTAATCCAACCACCATCACTGTTTGTCTGGTTCCCTAAATCTGTTTTACAAAATAAAATGGTGTCAATGTGAAGTCGTGTGTGAGGGTGCAGCAGGCAAGTCTACAGGGTAACTGTTGTTTGTATGAGTTCAGCCCACGACGCAGAGAAGGCTCGACTGTGTGTTCCAGCGTATCAGAACCACCCCCCTCTTCACCTGCACCCACACACTCAGCACAGCCCTCTGTAGCAAAATGTATGCGCTTCTTTCTTTAACATCATCAGCTCACAACAACCAGCTAACAGCTAACATCATCGTGATTTCTGTCCTTTTAAACGTTTCTGTCTTGTCCTAATATGCAGCCACGTTAGTAAAATATAAAGAAAGATCACTGCCTCATTTAGATTCCTCTCTTCTTCTCTAATGATCTAAAAATGTTTCATTTCTGCAGCAGGACGAGGTAGATTACAACGTCCTAACGTCCTTAAATTGGAGAGGAAAGGCAAAATGGCTGCAGTTTAAATGAAACAGGACTGAGGCTCTGCAGCCCTCTGTTCTATTTTTACTGTCACAGCACTTCACTTGTGTGTTAACTGATTCTCCTGACCCACAAAAAAAATCCTAAGGAAAAAGAGAGAGAGGGAGAAAAAGAGAGAGGGGAAAGCCCTTATTTCACAGTCCACTGCTGTTTGCTCCGCCCAGTCCTACACACAAACACACACAAACACACCACACACACCTCCCATCTGTCCTCACTGGGGGGTGATGACTCACACACACAGGCCTGTTTTATGTAATCGGAGCAGACGGAGTTTGGCCACCAGGGGGCAGCAGGCCACACAGATCTCCTGTCAAAGCAGCAGTCCAGGAATAGCAACAACCTGAGGAGAGAGTGTTGGTTTTATAACCTAATTGACTAGTGAGCCTACATTTTCTCCAGTTTTCCATGAACTCATACACCTGTGGGAGGAAAAAGTGAAGGCAACTTTGTCTACTTTTCACAAATTATGTACCGCACAGCGACTACAGCAGCGTACAAATACTTTCCAAGCTCTGAAATATGTTGTAGCGCAGACTTTTTCTTGCATAACCTGGCATCTTGTGATGATGCAGAACAAAGATGACAGAGCCTGGCGATGGTGTTAAAGAGTGCAGTAGGGTAGGAGGTGTGCGTGTGTGTGTTCACATTAGGGGAGAGAAGTGGTACAAGTCCCCTGGCACTTCCTGTTGGCATTCAGATAGAAAACAAAACCTGACTAAAACAGGATGACACCGTTATGGGTGTAATACTGAACAAGCCTACTGGGCACAGACCCAGGGGCTCGATGGGTCAGGGGGCCACGATGAGGCGTAAACCAAAGAGACGCAAAACAACCACAAAAAGATGCAAACCTACCTCAACGAGATGCAAAATGACCACAAAGAGACACAAAATGACAAGAGGGAGACATGAAACAATCATATAGAGGCCTAAAACCCACAACAAAGAGACACTTAATGACCACAAAGAGATGTCAAATTACCAGAGAGAAGCAAAATGACCACAAAACACCTAACATTACCACAGACACTCAAAACAACCACAAAGAAACACAAAATGACTCCAAAGAAACAGAGAGACCGCAAAGAGATGCAAAATGACCACAGACACAAAACAACCATAAAGAGACGCAAAATGACCTCAAAGAAATCCAAAATGACCACAGACACAAAATGACTTCAAAGAGACCAAAATTGATGACAATGAGACTGAATATGACCACAGAGACACACAAAATGGCCCCAAAAAGCCCCAAAATGACCACAAAGAGATGCTAACTGACCACAAAGAGACTAAAAATGAACACAAGAGATACAAAATGACCTCAAGGAGACCCCAAAATGACCACAAAGACACTAAAATTGATGACAAAGAGGCTGAAAATGACCACAAAGAGATGCTTAATGACCACAGAGAGACTAAAAATGAACGCTAAAGATGCCAAATGACCTCAAGGAGACCCGAAAATGACCACAAAGAGATGCAAAATGACCTCAGAGACCAAAAATGACTTCAAAGACACACCAAATGGCCCCAAAGAGCCCGCAAAACAACCATAAAGAGACGCAAAATGACCTCAAAGACACCAACACTGATAGCAATGAGTCTGAAAATGACCACAAAGACAGACACACAAAATGGCCCCAAAAAGCCCAAAGATGAACACAAGAGATGCAAAATGACCTCAAGGAAACCCAAAAATGATCACAAAGACACCAAAATTGTCGAGAAAAGGGCCTGAAAATGACCACAAAGAGATGCTTGATGACCAGACTCAAAATAAACACTAAAGATGCAAAATGACCTCAAAGAGCCCAAAAAATGACCACAAAGACACACAAAATGGCCCCAAAGAGCCCAAAAATGACCACTAAGAGATGCAAAATGACCACACAGTGACTTAAATAACTGTAAAGAGATGCTAAATTACTATAAAACAGACACAAAACAACTAAAATAGATGTAAACTGACTAAAGATACACACAAAATGACTTAAAATTGATGCAAAACTACCGAATAGAGATGAAAGACAACCAGAAAGAGACACACAACATTTGAGGTAGGTTTGTGTTGTGTTTCAGTCTGTGTCTTGCTAGTATCTAAGGGGTGGGGGGACCTTTTACGTGTCTATGCCCAGGCACTTGCTGTCTCATAATCCATCCATGGACACTATATTAGACACAGTGGACACAGAGGAGATAGAGTGTGTGTGTGTGTGTGTGTGTGTAAGTAAGAGTGGTAATAGATTCAAA